ATCTGTTAATATTATTAATCCTAATTACATAATGATTATCAATTTCGGCTTTTCCACTGATATCTCAAGTATTAATCATAACATTTCAATAAAACTTGTACATAGGTGTCATATGACACTGCACAGACTGATAGTTTTTAGGGTAATATCAGTACATATTACTTACCTAATTTGCATAATTAATTAATTTTCAGCTTTTGATATTTCGAGTAGTAATGATCACGTTTCAATGAAACTTGGTACATAGTTACTTGAGGACTGTGCAGAGACCTAGTTAGTTTTTGGGTAAAATATTTGTGCATATTAATCACCTTATTAGCATAATTAATTAATTTTCAGCTTTTCACCTGATATCTCAAGTACTAATCATCACATTTCAATGAGACTTGCGACATTTTTTCTAGTACTATGCAGAGACCTGATTAATTTTGGGATAAATAATTGTGCCTATTAATTACCTAATTTGCATATTTAGTTAATTTTTTGCTGTTCTATGGCTGTTGCACTGCTGTCTAAAAACCACTCATTGGATTTCAATGAAACTTTTAAAGAGTACCCATCACATTTCAATGAACCTCAGACTATGCACCATATTAGTTTTTGGTAAATATTTATGCTTCTTAATCACCTAGATAACATAATTAATTAATACTGATATCTCAAGTATTGATCATCGCATTTGGATAAAACTTGGTACATAAATGCTCTAGGACAATAGACAGCCTGATTAATTTTTGGTTAAAATTAAAAATTAGCATAATAATTAATATTTTTTTGGTTCAAATCACATTTCAATAAAACTTGGTACATTGTGCAGACCTTTAGTTTTACACTTAAATCTGTTCATATTGGTTACCTTATTTGCATAATTAGTTTTCTGCGTTTCCATCAATATCTCAAGTATAAGTAATTTTGAATTAATTTTTAATGTGTCTCCAAAACTCTCAGCACACAGGAGTTCTTTCTAAGCTTTCTTTGATTAGTTTGTTAATACACATGTAGCTACTCTTTGATCATCATGGATTGGATAATAAAACAATGCATGTGCATATGGCCGAATACAGGACAACAATCATCCTTTAAACTTGATCAGTCCTGGAATGTACCGCTGTTTTTTGACAGTTGTATGACCAGTTTTGAACCATAGAGACTGAACATGATGTAACTTTTGGAAGAAATGTACCAATATCACAAGAACATCTGTATCTGGAGAACAAACATTATGCCATTCTCTCTGCAATCATTGTCTGTTTTTGTTGCATGTAATGTGATACGTGTATCAGTCACTTCTTGTGTTGCATCCACTGTACTATGTGAGGTGACTTTCTCGGTTATTTCTTCATTCTGAAATCCACTCTCTGTACCTTTCACTTCATTGATCATATCGATCAAAAACATCAACTACATTCCTAGCAGTTGAAAAACATGACAGTAGGCCTGTAAGGTAGGCACTTGCAAGGTTTTCAAATGTACTGTGGTTATTTTCATTCAATGCTTGAATAACTGTCATGAAATCTTTTATAAACACACTCTTTTTATCATGGGTTTCTGACAATTCAGTGCCACTCTCCACTCTTTCCTCAAGCCTTGTTTGTCTTTAGCATACTTCAGCCACTTTGAATCCAATTTGAAAAATAAAATTACTTGCATCAGGAACCCGTAATATCTAATATATGTACCATGTTTGAACAAAATCCATCCATAAATGCCTGAAATGCTTGATATTTGATGAGTTTTTAGCATAAAAATGGCCACCATTCGGCCATTTTTAATAGGATCGTCAAACCAATATATTTGTATATCTATGACATTATGTTTAATGAATATTTAGAATTTGAGCATAATCAGTCACAGCAAGTCAGAGATATGGCACTAGAACCATTAACAAAAAATGGCCGCCAGTGAATCTTTTCTGAAAAACAAAATGTGCATCAAGGTCCTATAATGTCCAATGTATATACCAAGTTTGAACAAAATCCATCTGTAAACACCAGAAAAATACTTGATTTTGATGATTTTTCAGTACAAAAATGGCTGTCATTCGGCTATCGTGAATCAGATTGTGAAACAAATTGATGTGCATATGTATAATATTATGTATGATGTATGTGTGAAGTTTGAATGTAATTGGTCCAGGCATGTCTAAGATACAGATGCACACATGGATGCACGCACACACAGAGGTCAATCCATAAGTCCCATAAGTTTTCGGTCGAACAGGAACTAAAAACTTCATTGTACTTTTTTATAGATCTGTTGTTTTTATTGTCTTGTATTCTACTTTTATATACTTTATTACTTCAACTGTAGATGAACTGTCATTATTCATTATGGTGTAATAAAGATATTTTTATTATTATTATTATATATGAAGAATCTTCCATATATGTAATATATACGTAATATACCTAAGCAGTATATGTAGAATCATAGACCCTCTAACAGGGTTAGAATCATTCATAACTTACCATCATGAAACTCAAGTGACTCCGGTCCAGTTATTTCACCATCAAAAAGTTTCTTGGCATCTTGCAATTTGTTATTCGGTGCTAGCACTCCCACAAATTCTGGTGGGTCAGGCAAACTGAAATTACAGAAATTAAAAACTTTATAAAATATTAAATATTGGCAGTGAATTGAAATATTAGGTAAATTTTAACAATATCACATAAATGAAATATTTAAAAATACATTAAATTAATTAAAATAATTAATGACAAGACATTACCTGAAAGTAACTGGTTTTATTGGTGATGGCAGACAAGCAATAATAATAGCAGTTATTGCCACAGCAACACAAGTGATTATAAAGACTCCTCCACATGAAAATCTATAATATTTGAAAACATACGATTACCTTTTTAATATTATTATTATATTAAAAATATTATGTTTTTAAATTGTCAAATATAATCCGGGGATTGTAATTTTTAATAATAAAAAATATGAATGAAAAATGAGAAATAACAATGGGAAAGTGCACTTGAAAAAAATTACCCAGTTTTAGCCTGTTCGTTGTCTTTTTTGGTGTTTTGCAAGGAGCTGTATCTATCTTCTTGGTATATCTGACCTTCATCAACATCTGGCCCCGCTTCTCCGGTAACCTGTCGATGTCTGACACCGCCTTCGACTACGGACATGGTGTTTAAATATTTCAACCTTAAAAAATTCAATACAGTCGATCATGGCACGGCTTGCGTTAATAGGGGTCATTAACAAAAATAAACATTTACTCAAACAGTTACATTTTACCTGGTAGAACATGTGTCGATCAAAAAAAAGCGTCACCCGGAAGTTACGAACGACACTGCCGGATGTTGTTGGATTACACCGCGGATAAAGTAAATCGTGTCTATTTTTCTTACAGTCACTAACGATTATTGATGAGCGTATTGGTGAGTTTTTGTTTTACATCAAGAAAACTGTTATCAATATATTAAAAGTGTAATTTATATATAAATTCAGATCAAAGTTGAATCGGGATAGTGCCAAGCACGTCCATAGATATATCCATCCGCCAAATGTGGCCACGCCCACCATGAGGTCAGCTGATTTGACTTGACCGCTGAACTTACAGATGTTGTCAGGATGGTTGCGTGTTGCTCTAGCAAAGATTCCTCTGCTCCACAAAGGTGGGTTACCAAGGTTAACTTTTTCTACATCATAACTGGGCTGAAAGAAAGTTACCCCCATGCTTGCACGGTATAAATAATATGATCAGGAATTGGGTCAACTGTTTAAAGATCGAGATTTGTTGTTCATTGAGGTCATTGACTGTGTGACCCTTTAGGAGAGCAGACGAAAAAGAAACAATATTAGTCAATAAATTTACTTTTAGTAAATTTTACTAATTTAGAATAAATTTACTAAATAAATCTACAATGAAAACAAAAGGATGATAACTTATTATAAATAAATAAATAAATAAATAAATAATATCTTATTCAACTTTCTGCATCCTTAAAAATAATATAAATTACATCAGTTTTATTTTTTGAGTTGGGTAAAGTTAATTCAAAGTTAATATACTTTTTTTTTCTTTTTACAGCTACAAATGTGACTGGCTTTTTGTGAAGAGATTTTGGTGTCTGTTAAAGATAATGTTTCCAAGATGGAAGTCTGTCAGTGTTCTCCTAGTTGTCTTACTTGTCATTGTATCACTGATGCGTAAGGATCACTGAATTGTAAAATATTAACCACCAGTAATAGTTGGAAAGTTCTATAGGGAACTACTGTATTTTCTCTATTAGAAGTGTATGCGCTTATGTACATTACATGTGTTTTCCACAGGAAAAATATGTCATACTTAGCTCTAAACCAGCCAGTCTTGTGTATTTTGACATAACCAGATAAGAGTTAAATTATTCCAGATACAACACTTGCAATGTTCACTTCTATTTGAGATGCGCTTACATTGGATATTACATACATACATGCTTTTTCCATTTTTATTGTATATATTATTATGTTTATTTTCGCATAATACTTATAAAAGGTCTATGGTTTGAGATTGTGCTTTATGTTCCGAAATCTTCAAGATTCATTCATAATCATAAAAAAAATAAAAAATAAAACAGGAGTCGTTAATATTGAAAAAAGTTTATTTTTTATACATTGTACATGTTTTTTGGCAGGTTTTCATGAGTATTCCTGATTTATTATTTTGTTATTGTTTGTTCACATAAAATGTTCCGGAACTTGGCTAATATTACACTCCCACACGAATCTAATGTAACTGCATTTGAAAAATAGACTTCAATGTTTATACAAAAAAGTAGTGATGTTGAATTATGTTGAACAGGATTGTGGGAAGTATATTACAAGATTAGTACTTTAATATCTTGACAGCAACTGACTGCAAATGAAAAATATACTTACAGGAACTCAAAATCTGCATACAATGATAGCTTATGCAGTAAATTAAAGTTTCCTAAAATATTTTTTTGTGTGCACATTATGAAAATAATGCAATCTTCTGTATATATTTAATAATAACTTTATTTATTTTTTATTCTTTTCTTGTATTTCTCATTCTATCTGCCATTTTCTACAAGACATGACTTGCAAATTTCATGTTCTCTCATGTCATTTTTATTCTTTCTCAAATTATTATATGACATTATCAAGGTTATGATAGTTGATCTACATACATGTTTTCGTGGGGGGGGGGGGGGCATTAAATCACCATGAGCTGGATTTTTCACCAATTTGTTCATATTGTTTAATCATTGTAAATACTGAGCAAGGGTTATATTATTGTAAGCTGATATTATTTTTCAATTTTCAACTGCTAGGCCTGGAACTAAGCCAAGGTCCTCATGAGATATTCCATATCAAAATGATTCAATTTATGTCATTAGTTGTGTTCAGGCTACACTCTAGCAGGGGCTAAAATTAAAGCAAATCCCATATGCTTGCATATCAGCTATGCCCAGATCCTTTCATGCATGTGACAGGACAACATACAGTTACTTAAGCAATAACCCCCGCCGAAGGCGGGTATACCACGAGATATTGCACAATTAGGGTCTAGACCATGTCTTAAAATCAGGTCTGATTTAGATTGCAATTTCTTAGTTCGTACTAAGTTGTAAACACACATTTTCTTAGTGCAGGCTGTTTTTGACCTCTTAGCCCGTGCTAAGAGCTGTGTGCGAACACAATTATTGTCCCAAATCATCTGTCATGTAACACACATATATGGCTGTCTACTGTTTACATATGCATTGACAGTACATTGTATCATTTCAACCATTGTGTGTATATTTGGTGCACAAAGGTCATTCTGGCTCAGTATTATTAAAAAATATGACAAAATTTACAATAAACACTTCTTATGTCTGCATGTTTTTATTGTTTGTTTTTTAGAACAATTTATAATTTATTGGGTAGGATTGATACCCAGTCAGTACTATGCAGTGTTAGGAGAGAAAGATGAGGAGGGGTTCAAAGAGTTGGTGCCAAAGTCATTGTATCTTATAATCGCCGTGGCAATAGTGAGTATACATTTTTTCCTGAAGCTAAATATCTGTGTTTTTTTATTTCGGATTGCAATGATTAAGGCAGCTTGTTTGCATATAACCTGGAAATTGTAATTTTCTTCTGTCTTACAATGTTTTGTCTAAAATATTTTGACTGCATGACTGAGCTACGAGGTTATAAAAACACTGTACAGTACCGTAGTTTTCTTTTATTGTCTCAGCTTATCTAATTTTCTTATCTGACTTTAGCTGGTCTACTAATAAGGATAACATTTGTGATTTATGAATGTTGAGATAAAGATACAGTATGAAATATAAACCAGTGCTTAGAGATCTCCATTGTTATTATTTGCCCATCATGCTTTGCAAAATTCAAACTAGACAATGGGATAAGCTTTATAATAGTATTTGATTTCTTTTTATTATAAATCACAGTAATTTGATGGTCCATAAAACTTAATGATATTGTTGATATTTTTAGGCAAGAAGTGCAAACCAATACCTGTGTGATATTTTGTATTTGTTTTGGCGACAGTATTTAACATCATGGCTTCACAATAAATACTTCAAAAAGTTTGTTTATTACCAACTCAATGTAATGTTACAGAGTAATATTGACAATGTGTAAGTATTATCAGATATTCAATTATCTTGTTTATTTGGGGTTATCATGCAACATTTGTATCATTTGTACTTGCCCAATTTACTTGATATATTTATGAATTTAATAAATTTAGTGTTTCATTGGAAAATACTAACTGATACATGTATATGCGTTCACAGTTGCTTAATCTGAGAGCTAAAACTGGCTCTCCTGACCACAGTAATGCGCAGGTGATTAGGGAAGCTATGCTATCAAAATCTGTTTAAAATAGCATGGATTGGGAAAGTTATGATTAGCTCTTCTGGGTCTTGATTTGAGAAATTGATAGATGAGTTGAGTGATCACTTGTATTGGAAAGTAAAGTCTGACTGAAATGTATTGCGTTTATAGCATATTAAATAGTTAATTTGCATAATAATAAGCCAATTGTAAGTTTTTCTGGGGATAACTACTTTAGAGTCAAAATTATGTGCATATTAATTACCTAATTAACATACTAATTGTTGTCTCTTTCATGAATATGCAATCAATTTATTATTATTTTTGTTCTGTTATTATCAACTTCAATACTTTAGATCAGATTGCTTTCACAGTTTATCCATTCTTTCTTTTTAACTTATTGCAATTGCCAATAATAATAAGATTACTACGAGGATACCTTAAAGTATGCATGAAGACAGTACAGCTGGTGGCAACCATGTTTGTTTTTATTATTAGTGGACGCTTACGTGCGTAATCATTCCATATTTGGAATTCGCATTTCCTAATATGGTAGGATAAAAATACCCCATAAAATACCACAAAATTACGACACACTGTAATGGCGTTAGGGTGGCAGATGTATAATAATACAAAATATTACTATCATATCATAATTAATATATCAGTAGTTGATCATCAACAGAAAACTTACCCCAAGATTTAATACCAACTTGTTCAGGATTGTCTTTCATTGTGCCATCTATTTCATCTTAAATCTCATTTTGAATCGATAAAAATATGATAGTCCATAGTTAATAATATAGAGTTCATGATTGTTCTTCAACAGAGATCAAAGAATAACACAGGATGTTGACAGACTTTGTCGACAATTCAGTCAGTGTATTGCAGTGATTCTCATATCTCCTTTTACAATTGGATACTATACATGGAAGTGTTATGAAAGGTAAGTTCACATTTAAAATGCATGTGCACTTGCATCATAATTTCTTTTCTTTATTTTATTTTTAGTTTAATTTCATTATTGATGTTTTTATAATTACTTGTATATACATTACTATTGGTCTATTTCTGTTCTGTGTTTGAGCATATTTTTAATATCTATAACTATACGTGTAAACATTGATCACCACATGTCTGTTGTTATTTCAAATTCAATAAAGCACTACAGTTGAGAATATGTTTAAAATGTAAAGTATACAATGTATTTAAAATGCAATAATTATTCAGATTACCGTAATACTGATGCTATCAAAAAAATTAATGGGAATAAAACTAAAAATGATATATCAAATTTGCTGTATTAGAAAAATGCATTTACTGTATGTACATAACTCTGTCCTTTGTGAGCACTATTACTAGTAATAGAGCAAATATGGTAACTGGATTTATTCTATGATGTATTTATTTTTTCCACAATTTGAATTACAATGTGTATGACTATTTTGACAGTACCGGTTGGATTGGTCCTGTTGCTATTTATGCATATTTTATACTTGGAACCATCATCAATAAGTTCATCATGTCTCCTGTGGTCGACCTCACTTTCAAACAAGAAAAAAATGAGGGAATATTCAGGTATGGCATACAGTTGAGTCAGGACTCTTTATTTTCTGTAAACAAATACTAGGTAGTTATAAACACTCACTACACAGAAACAGGTGTAACAATATCGGTGTGGAGAATATCCTTTTTAGTCCCCGTTTGGACTTATGTTTTGCTATGTGTGCGTCCGTGCGTGCGTCCATGCGTGCGTCCGTGATCACCTGTATCTCGAACATGCATGGATCAATTAAGTTCAAACTTCACTCATACATCACACATTATATGGGACATATGCACATGCATTTTTTTCATGATCCGATTAACGATAGCCGAATAGCAGCCATTTTAAGGCCGAAAATGAATCAAAATCACACATTTTCACCATTCCGGACCCGGATCTCAGTTATGCATGGATGGATTTTGTTCAAATTTGGTACATACATTAAACATAATAGGACCTTGATGCACGTCATTTTTTTTTCCGGATCAAGTTCGAAATGGCCGACTGGCGGCCATTTTGTTTTAAAGAATTCAGTTTTGGATTCGTATCCAAGACATGTCTGGATTGATCAAGTTCAAACTTCACACACACATGGTAAATCATGTCACAAATAGATATGTGCATTTGTTTCATGATCCGCTTAACAATAGCTGAATGATGGCCATTTTAAGGCCGAAAATGCATCAAAATCACGTATTTTCACAATTCCGGAACCGGATCTCAGTCATGCATGGATGGATTTTGTTCATATTTAGTACAATGTGTTGTACATATGCAGGTGCATTTCGGTCATGATCTGCTTTGAATGTATATGTCACTCAAATATGAACGGAACGGGGACATGTCATTGACAATGACTTGTATTCAGTGTTATGCAATGCAATGAATAGAATCATAGCATGCCAAAAGAACTAATAAGCAGAGAAAAAATGTATCTAAATTTCTCAAGAACTTGGTTGGATTTCAATAAAACTTGGTGCATAGATGCCATGAGAAAATGCACAGACCTAATTGGTTTTAGGTTGAAATGCCATGCATAATAGGTACTTTTTTCACAGGGTTTTCACAGAGTTGTTCCAGGAATTACATGCCAACCAGCATGCAAGTGTGTGATAACTGTGATAACACATGCTCGCAATTGCCTAAAGTTTGTTTTATTAACAGAAGCACATAGTAGTAAACAATGATGTTATTTTACCTTCAAGTGCGAACGACTGGTTCTTCCAACCAGCAACTATGCAGAATGTAAACAGGGTAGTTTTGGAGAGATAAATAAACCTTGATTTAACAAAATAAATCTATATCGTTGAGTTGATAATAATACCTAATCTTAACAAATAAAAATTATTTATAATACTTTCAAATTGTTTTACTGGTTACCAGGTTTCGTCATATGCAGATCAGAGTAAATTCTGAAGCTATAGCTTTCTTCAGAGCAGAAGAATTGGAAGCAGAAAAAACCAACAGAAAACTACATAACTTGTTAAATGTTCAGCAAACGCTTATAAATTGGGATCTGTGGCTGAACTGTGAGTGACTATTCATGTTATGTTCCATTGCTTGTTTATGTATCAAACATTATTGTATAACCATGCCCATGATATAAAAATTATTTGGATGTGGCTGATAACCGTAACTTTAAAGTTAACTAACCTGTCTATCTACATCAAATTTTATAACAGATTGTATCTAAACAACACTTGTTGCTGTAAATAACTTTGTCAACAAACCTTCGTCAAGCATCAGTTATGACTCACTACTTCCGAACAAAAAGTCTGTACATTTTTTGCAAAAAATTGTTGAAGGGATATCGATTTTTGCATTTTGATGTCTGGAAATGGAGATCAAGGAGTTGTATAACTATGATTTTAATCCCTGAAAATGTGTTATCATTTGAGTATGGAAATAAGACACAAGTAATTTTTGTGCTTTTATGTGTATTTACAGTTTCTGTGAATATGTTTAATTATATTGGAAGCATTCTCAGTTATCTGATCATATCTATTCCTATATTTCTTGGTGTTTATGATCACCTGACACCAACTGAACTTAGTTCTCTTATCAGTGCAGTAAGTATTTCATCTACAATTTTCCATGTGATATCATAATTCTTTGTGTTTAATGAAAGTGATGTCATAATTCTTTGTATTTTAATGAAAGTGATGTCATATTTCTTTGTGTTTCATTGCAAGTGATGACATCATTCTTTTTGCTTTAGTGCAAGTGATGTCATAATTCTATGTGTTTCAAAACCACATTTTGTTCAAAAAAACACATATTGCATTCTTCTCACTATCAGGTCCCACCACAGATGTTGTTTATCTTTTATAGGTATCCTTTGTATCCATGTATTTGATATTCTGTTTTTCAAGTCTTATTAATTTATCCAGTAAAATATCAGATATTGCTGGCTATTCCCACAGGTAAGTATATTCTGAATGTGTGAATTTTCTAACGTGCAAAAAACAATACGGATGATTGGTAGTTAAAATCTATTTATGATCAGAGCAGTTCTCATTGTAAGCTACTTGTCACCTTTCACAGAATAAAGCCACATAATTGTTCTCATATCTTTTCAAAAATGTTGATCAGTATCTGTAGAAAATGGGAAATTATGTCCAGATCCAGAATTAAAAAAGAAATTACTGAAAAATATATGCAAAACCTGTTACCAAACTGAAAGATCTTCCTAGAGCGGCCACAGACCTGTTTCAGATATGTGGAAGCTAAATGCAGCACATGTTTAGTCTAAACCAAGGTCTGCAGAGCTCAATTGTTGGCTAAGACACCATGCAGCCCTCTGCAGATCAACTAACCACTTTCTAAGGCAACTGATGTCAATCAAGTTATTATTGAAACTGACATTACCGGTATGCCGTTCAAGGGGTTGAAATCTGATTCAGATCACCTTCATGTCAAATGCAGAATTGGTGAATTGAGAGAACAGCTACTAATTCTAGAAAAAGAATATGACTCAAGAGCATTAGATAAAAACTCTGATGCAGAAACAGATACTACGCTATTGGTACCATCAGCAGTTATTAATGAAGCCGAAAATGATAGGAAAGATGATTCCAGTGTTGATGAAGATAGTTTGAAAGAAAACCAAAATAAAGCATTTCACTTATGTGAAGTTTCTTACTCTCCACCAAACTGCAACCACACCTTGGTGAGAGGTATGTCTCTTTCTATCTGTTAACTTAACCCCTCAAATTTGTTCTGCCAAAATTTGGTGCAGAATTTGCACAAGAGTATATACCGGTAGTTATATCTAAATACAAAGTCCTTATATGTGACTTCTATCTGCTAACATGTGTCTGCTGCACTTTTAAAGTAAGTGGCCCTTGATTGTAGTCTAAATCTTCCTTCTCTAGATGTTAGTGATAGAGGTAGCTGCACTGATGTATACTAAACATGATAGTTTCAATTCAAATGAAACCTACATCACTGCTATACACATATACCAGTATAAGTTGGTCCAAGTTTTAATCAGATAGTAATTTCCATTAACTGATCGGGCTAACATTCAGAACACACACTTCTCACTTAACTATTAAAACCTTAATTAATAATAGGACACATGATAGCTCCAATATTTTAGTTATCCTAAATCTAGCTACAAATCACTATGAAGCTCTAACGTATGATACACCTATGGCTTGATATTAATTGGCTGTTTATTCATGCTGAGTAATGCATCACTCAATTGTTTTTCACGGCCATGGGTGTAGTCGTCATTGTGTCTAAGTAACAAGATCTCCAATGATTCAAATGAATTGATATGCGAATTAATACGCAAGTGGTTGAAATAAACATTTCTTTATTTTCAGATTTAAATATGGAAATAGCTAGAGGGGAAGATATTTTAATTGTTGGCAGTACAGGAAGTGGCAAGACATCGTTACTAAGAGTACTGGGCGGACTATGGCCAGTAGAATGTGGTGATGTACAGCGATTCATGAAACTAGGGCCACAAGGTATACTGTATCTACCACAAAGACCATACCTCACAGATGGTACACTCAGAGAACAGGTAAATTTGCCACCAAACTATAATGCATCATAAAAATAAACAGAGCTACTTACATCACAGATGTAATTTCACAGCGAGTCGATATTTAGAACAGACAAGTAAAAACAGTGTATAAATAAAATTATAACACATTTATGGCTGTTTAAATCATAAAAACAAAAGAATGATAGGAATTGTCTTAAATCCTTGAGGGCAGTATACAAATGATTTTAACTATTTGCAATACAAGGTTCCCACTTTATTACAACAAGATATCACAGGTTTCAGCATGCATGTGTAATATTTTTGTGAAATCAATTTGACTGTGTTGTCAATAAAAATAATTTACATGAAAAGATTTTCAAGAAACATTTTTTGGGTCGCCTTTGACCTTGTGTTGTCCAAATCAAAAATTTTAACCAAACATGACAAAAATTAAGTTAAGCTTTATTATTAAAGGATCACTCAAGTTGTCTACATATAAAATACCAAAGCAATTGATTTGTCAACTATTTTTTTTTGTCAACATCGAAGCTAAAATGAAACACAACAAACATTATCATGACCCTTGACTTTGCTTGCAGTCTGTTGCGATTTTGATGAAACATTCTTGAAAAATAAATATAAATTGCGTAAACGAGGGTTGGACACGAAGTCCTGTGACCGTGAAATCCCAACAGACTTGCCGTCAGTGTAAGCGTCCTCACATTACCGACTCTAATGAGAGCTCACAGAATTGCCCACATTCATTACATTCTGGGATGTCTCAAGTGGTAAAAAACTTAGAGACTAAGGGGTATGGTCTCAAGCAAAATTAACCAGTTCTCCCTCAATGAGAACCTACTAGTCGTAAAATCATGTCAGTTAATTTTAACATTAGTTTTATGTGTACAATGTGGCATGCAACATTTTAAAATTTGTTCAGCAAAGTTTACAGTATTTTTGTATTGCTCTTTATAGTACTGGTAGTGTATACCATCCAATGTCAACGAATGTGTGATTACATTTCAGATCTGTTATCCAGATAGGGTGACACCCCAAGCAAAGTGTGATACATCTGAAAATTCACTGCTACATAACTACCTTTGTGTTGTTGGGCTTGGTCCATTAGTTGACAGAGTAGGAGGTATCGATGAAGGGGAAGATGTCTATTGGACTGATGAGCTATCACCTGGTGAAATGCAAAGATTGTCATTCGCTCGATTGTTTTATCATAAACCATCAATAGCTAGTAAGTTACACCAACATTAATAATTAACGCATTGGTTGATAGTTTTAAAAATATGTTATGGTAAACTTAACTTAGATAAATTGAAAGAGTGCTTACTGTATTTGCTATTACCACTTTGCACTTAAACAAGAGTGTTTGTGATTATGAAGGTTCCATCAAATAACAAAGAGCATGTAAAAAATGTTAATACTGAACTTATTTCCATAGAAACAGTGACTTCGTGATCTCTCCATAGCATTAAATATTAATCTTGCTTACTAACAATTTCAGAAAATTAAAAGTGTATTGTGTTAGCCATAACTACTCAAAGTTGCAAACAACTTGCCAAATATGTTATTAGAATTTATATACTTGCCAATTGTGGTCCATGAACATAAAATGAAAATGAATAGTAATTGAAGGCCTAGTTTTCTGCACGTATTGCTTTGTATATATATTTCTAATCTGTGTTTTACATGTATGTTGTAGTTCTAGATGAAGCTACGAGTGCAATATCTCATGAAACCGAAGATCTCTTGTACAGAGTCTGTAAGGATATGGGTATGACTGTGATCAGTGTAGGACACAGAACCAGTCTGCAAAAATTCCACTCCACAATGCTGACATTAGATGGGGAAGGTGGATGGACTTTATCTTCAATATCAGAGGAAAAAGTTGATCTGAAATATGATACTAAACTATGATGCTAAAATGCAAGCAGTAGTTTCATTGTTTACTGACTGGCGGCCATTTTGTGTGAGATATCTATGTTATTTTACTGATTAATGATAGACTTGCAGATATTTTCATGTGGTTAGTCATATGACATCGCTGTGTTATTAACTGGTGGGGTTGGCATGTTACTGTTGTGTTGCTCCGATGGTGATAAAATGATGAGGTATTACCAGGTTTTTTTTTTGAACAACGCCCTATAGTGTACTTTATTAAACAAACAAGTTACTGTTTACACGACAATATTTTAAATAGTAAAACAGTTGCGTACTGGTAAAAGTACAGATAATAGAATTTAACATTTTGTATGACCAAGATGGTTGTCAGTCGATCATATATAACATTGTATCAAATTTGACATAAATTGCTTGGGCACCAATCACTCGTATGCAGAAGAACCCAAATGAGTATATAATAATGTCCATTTTTAGAATTTGTCTGAATTGGGACTAATAATTGTTATACCATTTACATGCTCATGAATACAATATTTATTTTGTTTCAATTATTAAAAATTAACCATGAACCGCCAAATTTATCTGCATCCAGCGTGAAATAAAAAGTGAAATTATTTCTGTGGAGATGTTTTTTAATATATATATATATATATATAACATGTATTTTGCAGAGAATTGTAATAAAAGTTTTTACTCCCGAGAAGCCTTAAATTTCTCATGCTTAGTCATTGAAAAGGAGTTGAATGATGTGATTGACTTAACAAATTCTCATTTGCATATATTCAGTAGCAATTACAATTTTTTTTTTCTTCAGTATAACACCTGAACTGATGCTTTATGAACTGACAAATTTCTGTTCGAGTTGGTTATTTTAAACACATTTGGTCTAGATTTGTTTGCATGGAAAATTGTGTGGTATTCCACCACTAAGACAGAAATAGGTACATAGAACTACATGTATCAAACTACATCAACATTGTAATGGCAAAAGGGTTAATGTGTAGTCTGCCGGTGGCCGTTGATCATTTTAGCACAACAGATAATACACCAAAACAGTCACTGAATATATATATACTGAATTAGATGCACCTCACTTTCTGAAATGTATTCCATGATAGATTCCACTTGGAATCCAACAGAGTACACCTAAGAATGGCGTGGTGATGCGCTGTGCATAATTCTGCGTTAACTCTGATTGGCGGTCTCCATAACTCCATAGTTCACTACCATGGGAACAAGCATGCACAGGCCGATTTAGTATATTATTCATAAATCATAGACAGCATCTAGTCTATGATAGATGGTGCCCCTAGTGTTATGAAGTGTCAATAATACTCTATTTCCTTTGCTAGTGCTTGCATGAATGTGTGCATGACGAGTGATTTATGGTCACAAATCCAACATACAATTACATTCACTTCTATTAGCATAAATATGGTACTATGATCATAACATAGTAACCCATCAAATATACCATTGCAGGAAAACGGAAAATAGTTTCCCATATGCTATGTACTAATTGGTCTGGAATCACACTGATGAAAACCATTTTATCATTTTTTTATTTGTACTCTATTGTGTATCAATAACAAACATTCTGTTGAAAAAAAAAATACATTTAAACATGGGGAAAAAACAAATTCCCTTAGGAATATTTTTAAAAACACTGGCAAAACTCTTTAAAGACAGCCTCTTGGAAGTTGTAACTAAGAAAACGTTAAAAGGAATGGGTATAGAAAACTAAAATGTACATCAAGCCTCACATGTAAAGGTGACTATTATTTTACCAGGTTTATTTAAAAGTGAAAAGTAAAACAAACTACGTTAAAAAAACACGAAATTATACAAATTGTCTTGATTTTTGTGATTTGTAACATGATTCATTAGGAAAAATTGGATAATTCTATTCAAATATGCTAACATAAATGAAACAAACGTTTACATGGTAACTATCGTTACTTCCTTTATATACATTTTAACTATTCGTTCCTGTAATTACCTCTTGGAAATTCATCTGGCTTAAAATGTTTGTAAATGAATATTATCATACATTATACCACTATTTTAGAATTCTATCAAAAGGTAGTAAAACATTTCAGGTTATTGATGTCACATTCAATCTCCCATCTTTGTTTACATTAGATGCAGATACACTAGCATATAATGGGAAGATATGCTTACTTTACAGTAAGTATTCTCAAGATAACCTTTTAATTAATTTTTCAATTCTGCAGAACATAATTACTCATCACATTTGCCTTTGTTAATGAACACTATAATTACATGACCCATCTGTACACTTATTTATAAACAGGGAATATTTGAAACAATCATAAAAATATGATCAATATTTGGAAGACAGAATAGTTCGGCAAACCTCTCTGGAATAAATATATATATCTATTGTCTTTTCTTCATACTAAAATACTACATGATGCTGAACTTCAAATATCATGCAAGTGCTAGTGGTTGGTATTTACAAATAAATGAGATACTACCTGGGGTAAGATATGTTGAACTAAGTCTACAAAAGCACACTCTGAAGTGTATCAAATGGGCTAAAAATAGTTCCATCGCGATTTCCAAACATTAATTATCATGTTTTAGGAACAGTAAAATATGTTAAAAACCAAATAAGTGTTAGGTTTTGTCATATTTGTGTATTTACTATTTTACTTGTTTTTGTTTAACTTCAGACCAAAATATATGAACATTTTGTGTACCTCATGATTCGTCTTATGTTTTTAAAAGTTTAAGAACTTAGGGAATCTTTTTTCTTTGTTAAATGCTTGTTTCTCTGTTCCATAATTACATCATGATTCTTAACGATGGCCTCCACAACGTTTGGTTCAGCAAGTGTGGTGATGTCACCCAAATCTTCATGTTCATTTGCAGCAATTTTACGTAGAATACGTCGCATAATTTTTCCAGATCTTGTCTTGGGTAATCCTGGAGCCACCTGTAATGGAGTCATTCAAAATTATTCATATTATACATATTAGAAATGTTATCTTTCTATCACTGACTGCGATAATGAAGCTACCACCAGCTGCTAAATAAGCTGTACATGCACACTATTGCTAAGTTTACTTGGCAGCATTTTATCATAGCCAAACTCTTCCTCCCACCAAACACCAAGAAATTACCTCTTCTGTGTGTACACACGATGAGGTCTGAATTAAAGCCGAGTTTGGTTTTGATCTTTTAGAAGGACTTTATGTAGCGATCTTCAGTCGTACAAAACGCCAATCACTCAGTGAGTCAGCCATTTGAGAACAACATGGCTGGTGATGATTTTGCTGTCCTGTTTCTGCCCTTTGACCACTTCTCCAATTCTTATCTTCAGTGCCTTTAAACAATTTAAGTTTCTTCAATTTCCATTTAATTTGTTCAGTTGTTCATTCAAAACCCAGTTACCAAGTTTTTGTTGCATAATTTCGTATATTAATTTACCCTCTTCGTCAAGTCAGAAATTATGCAAAATTACAAACGATGTTGACTCCTAGGATGCCATGATTGAATCCATCCCTTTCTTCATTCAGAAGAAGGTGATGGATGATTTGATTTCGGCCTGATACCCAGGTCTATATGAGCTCAACCCTGAAATTCATCGGAGCAAAACTCAACTCAAATCGGTTTTTACTGGCTCAAGCTGTTGGGCTCCAATAAAATGCTGTCATGTAAACAAGGTACATGGCTTTAGTTATAGTATAAATTATTGACAAACATCTAGCGGTATAGTAATACTGTGGAAGGGTGTACATGTAGTATTAAAATATGTTGAATAACACACATGAGTCTACACTCCTTTGAAGTCATAATCTTAAAAGTCTTATTAATTTTGGAAATTAACAGTTTTATGACATTTTAGTAGTTTTCTCTTTCTCTCAAATGAGTGACAATGTAATATTGTTGCAATAATTATAACATGTATGAATTACAGCAAGACAAATGATAGGCAACTGTACCTGTATCATTTCTGGGACAGCATAACTTGCAATCTGTTGACGAACAAGTTCTTTCAGTTCCTCCATTATCTGTTCTTCAGGCTCTCCCTCTATATCATCTTTTAAAGTCACATAAGCATACACACCTGTATTGCAACAAACAATTTAAATACATAAAACTTGCATATCAGATAGAAGGCATCTAAAAAGATAATCAGTAGAAATCATACACTGCAAAACTTAAAATAAATAAAATAAGCATTTTGCAATACACAATCATTGAGGATGTATTATTAAAGACCATAAGAATTTGTTGTTCGTTATAAAGTTCAAAATTCAACTTTTGACATCTTCTATGCATATATAGAACATGGTGGGCATGAAAAAATCCCATTGTACAGGTATATAATAGAAAATACCAACATAGTAAATTACAGAATGTATGTATGAAATCTGGTTCATGACATATCATCATAGTAATAATTTTAGTGGTCATCAGTCGGCCATCTTTGATCAGAAAACAAAATTAAACTATTCTTAGTAGCCTACATACATTTCCTCAAAAAAAAATAATAATATACATCAAATAAATAAATACATATATCATGTGAATTGGCAGACAATCACAAAATTACACAAGCAGCCTCTCAGCTGAGATAGCTCCGCTGTTAGCAATGCACATTTCAATTAAAGAACAGAAGATATCATTAGAAAATGAACAATATGCATAGTATCAATGCAATGGGACTTGCTGTTTTCAACAAGAATTCAAAAATATCATTTTTGACCATAAATGATTGTGGTTTTTAACAAGAAGAAAATATCACTTTTTACCAAAAATGACAAAAATATTCATCAAAATTAGAGAATTAAAGATATCATTACAAAATGAACAAATCTGAGAGAGGTCCACATGTAGTACCTATATATGTAATATCAAAGCAATTGGACTTGCAGTTTTTAACATCACTTTTTACCAAAAATATTCACCAAAATTAGGGAATTGAAGATATCATCACAAAATGAACAAATCTGAGAGAGATCCACATGTAGTACCTATATATGTAATATCAAAGCAATTGGACTTACCGGTACGGTTTTTAACAAGAAGTCGAAAATATCAATTTTTACCAAAAATGACAAAAATATTCACCAAAATTAGAGAATTGAAGATATGATCATGAAATGAACAAATCTGAGAGAGGTCTACCCAAGGTACATATACACTAAGTATCAAAGCATTCAGGCCTCTAGTTTTCAAGAAGAAGTCGAAAATGTAAAACATTGACACGGACGACAGACAGACCGGACGACGACGGACAATCACTCATATGATAAGCTCCGCTCGACAAAGTCGACAGAGGAGCTAAAAAAAACTTACTTTTGAAGAAATGTGTTTTTCAATGTATCAATAATCTCACTGATCTCTGTTTACACAATCAAACATTTCCAAGTATCCACTATAAACGCAGTGACACTATGGGTTAGAACTACCGATACCTTCAATTGACATGGAATTGGATGGCTTTCAAACATTGCTTATAAATAAAATATGGATATCACATATCATACCTTCTCCTTTGATATCATGTGGAAATCCTACCACAGCTGTCTCTGCTACAGCGGGATGCTCATCCTAAGTGAAAGGAACAACCAAGAATATTACAATAATCATGTTAAATATATAAGGTTATTATAAGGATACCAAAAAGTATTCACAAAGACAGAACAGCAGGAGTATCGACGGCGTACTGTCTGAGTGATACATCATGGGAATGTCGAAATCCAAAAAGTTTAGAACAGAATCAGCGAACTTCTTTGTATGGAGTCCAGTCAAACCCTGGTTGCAGCCATGTTTGTTTTTATTATTAGAGGACGCTTACGAGCGTAATCATTCAATATTTGGAATTTGCATTTCCTAATATAGTAGGATGAAAATAACCCACAAAATTAGTCACGCTGTAACTTATTGTGTTACGGTGACAGATGTATGATAATACTTGTTATTCCTTTCATGATTTTACTTTATGTAAGATTTATTCTCATGGAGTATGGCTTTGTGGTTTGGGTGCCACATCAAAAGGGACTTTCTGACAAAATTTAACATGTGCAATTTAAATTTGTAAAATATTTATGTTGAAAGCTGCAAGTTCATTGCAGTTCAACTTGTTCAACTTTAATTAAAACTGTTTAATATCCCCATTAATCTACCAGTAGAATTATGTTTGATATGCGCATCCTACATGCTCTCTTAAATTTCAGTTACTTGATCATTTTAGCTCCATTTTAGTTGTGTTTGTTCGTATTATATTGTATTTTTGTGATACTGTATTGTTATTATTTTTTCCAGGTCTGCGTAAAAAATAAATAAACAAACAATGTCACATTGATACTTTTGATGTGAAAAATAAGAAAATAGTGTGAACATGTGGAGGTTTATCAGCAGTATGGTTAGGCAGTCTTAAATGTCCTAACTTTTTAGCATGAGTACATATAATATACGATGAAGTAAATATGTTTACCCAAGAGCGCATTGTTTCAGTGAAGTATATTGATACACTGAACCCAGTGAACTATAGCCAGTCACAGAGGTCACTGTTATATTGTAGCCATGGCAGCGCTATAGCAACAGGGGCATGTTATTGGGATTACAGACAGGCAAGTGACGCATATCATTCACGTTTTGGGTAATTGCCTTGTTCTGTTATTTGTGGGATAAACATCCTTGAAGTTTCATTGAATTACAAAAATACACAACTTTATTTTCACATATTGAGATTAATTGCATCTCTCTGGGAAATAAACATTGACATTTCTTAAGTAAACAACCCAACTGGTAATCCAATGACAGCCTTTGCTTATATATGAACTGATTTATGAAGTTTACAATATATGACAATGTGTTAAACATTAACAATTACCACCATATACTGTATTTTCTCTATTAGAAGTGCATCTCTAAATGCATGTAAATAAACAAATTGCATTTACTGTATATTGAATCATCAAAATATAACTTATTTTGGAAATAAACACATCTCTGTCATTTATGTAAGTGCATGCATTAATCACAGAGTGAATAAGATAATTTCGCTGTCCATATTTGTATAATGGTTGAAATACAGGGGTGCTGAACAGTTCAATTTCCCACAACCTTTGCACACTAAAACAAGTCAGATTGTTTATTTACATCAAATTCGAACACGTGTTGCGCGACGACCCCTCCAGTTTAAGACATAGCAAAGAAAAAAATAGATCACAAGTGAAAGCATGTCCAAGTTATCACATTTTTAACAAACAAGATGGCCGCCAGTCGGCCATATTTGATCAAATTGCAAATTGAATTGACATGTACATGTATCCATTTATGACAGCTAAATATCAATGAAAATGATACATGGTGACAGAGATATAGTTATTTGGCCATCTTTGATCTGATTATGGAACAAACTGACATGTATGATGTATGTGCCAAATACAAATGAAAATGGTACATGAATCTTGGAAATATACATGTAGTAGTAACAGAGGTTTTTCTAAACTGAGGAACAGGGAAGCCCTGATACTTTTGGCTAGTGCCCTCTTACCGAATTGAAGTTTAAAGTCATAAATATATTTCTTGAGCCACACACTTCCGTGCTGCCGTACAAAACGAAATCTTTCTCAAATATTTTTTTTTATCTGTGAAAACTTCACAGCAACACCAGCTGACAATGTGCCTGGACACCAAATACACTAAAATTACTCCAAAAATATTTCAATGGTGATAGATACACCATTAAAATGCGCAGAAACCTTCTGATATGGCGTTTCCTTGTTGATCCGCCATGTTATTTCTTTGCTAACTTGGTCACTCCACTCCCCCGCCTGTGAGTGCTCCCTCTTGTTAATTTTTTCTTAAAAAAAACCCTGTAATAAGGCCAAAAAGTCAGATGGCTGTCAATTGGCCATCTTTGATCCAATTTTAAAAACAAATCGTCATGGACATGTATCCTAACATGTATAATCTATGAACAAAGTTTGAACGAAAACTGACAAAGCATGTCCAAAATACAACATTTTCAAAAAACAAGATGGCTGCCAGTCGGCCATTTTGAATTGAATCGCTAAACCACTGCATGTGCATATGTCCCATATAAAGTACTAGGTACATTTAAAGAATGAACGGATTTGGTCCAACGGATTTTGAAATGTGACTCCGGACGGACAAATGCACGGACGGACGGACAGACAGAGGACATGTATCTTAACATGTATAATCTAAGTATCAAATTTGAATGAAAACTTACAAAACATGTCCAAAATACAACATTTTCAAAAAACAAGATGGCTGCCAGTCGGCCATTTTGAATCTAATCGCTAAACCACTGCATGTGCATATGTCCCACATAAAGTACTTGGCACTCGGTCCAAAGGATTCTGAAATATGACTCAGACAGACAGACAGACGGACAGACAGACAGACAGACAGACAGACGGACAGACAGACAGACAGACGGACGGACAGACGGACAGAGACCGAATCATAAGTCCCCGTTTTCGGACTTCGTTCGAACGAGGACTAACAAGAATAAAGCAAAAACTAAAAAGTTCAACTGCACATACTAAATAAGAAACTACAGAAAAACAGTCTCAAAATCTTGTATAGCACAATTTCAGTAACAATATAAAAAAATCTCACCATGGCATCTTCAACTTCAGCTGTACCCAGCCGATGTCCACTGACGTTAATGACATCATCCATACGACCAGTGATCAAATAGTAACCATAGTGATCACGATGTGCACCATCACCAGAAAAATACAACCCTACAAATTTAAATAAGAATACATTATCCACTTGACGACAATGACTACAGTATAATTTTTTAGGTACTGCAGATAAAAGGTACAACTTTTATGACGTTGTTATGGAATAAAAATCCCAGAACCTCGCCCCAAATCCCCCCACGCCCACAGAATAGAAACCTGTGACACAACTTACAATGTAATTCATCATGGCAATATTGTCTATAATTAATGTTCTTTGATGATAAATCGAACTATATTGGCAATCTATCCAATTCCAATAACTAACTCTACTGTATCCAATCGAATGAGTGATTTTAATTCAATTTTTAGCACTATACTGATAACTAAAATCAAATATAACTTTGAGTCAACAGAAAATGTATCTTGCTCCATTTTTCAGAATTTATTACCAATATATTGATTTACCTGGATAGGTTTTAAAGTATGTATCAATGTAGCGCTGATGATCACCATATACTGTACGTGCAATACCGGGCCACGGCGTTCGAACACATAATGCACCATATGCATCGTTACCTTTCATTTCCTTATCCTGCAAATTAGAATACAACTAGTTATGACATCACAGATAGGACAACAAATTACACATTGATAACAGATATATATTGAAGTGGCAGCAAGGTTACTAACAAAGACTAACTGTGGTGGCAGTAACTCCAATATTAGTGCACAAGTTCAGACGATAGACAGGCATAGGTTGTCATAAGCAAATTTAATTATACAATAAATATAAACTTCATAGCAATGGGAAAAATTTACAACCATAAATGCTGGTCTTTGGGTACCAAATTTATAAATCACCAATAATAACCATTGTGGGGAAAATTTACCAGTTCATTGTCTTTGGACATCAGGTGATGTTATATTGCATTTCATTGGCCCTGGAACCTGCGTAATGTTGTGACATTTAAGTCATGATCAAATAAACATTAAGAAAATTTTAGTCAGAACCATGTATGTTCCCAGGTGCCATGCAGACAACCTAACAGTCTATTCTAGACTATAGAAAAAACACATTGCCTGTTGACACAGTTCTTCTGAGTGATTCATTTCATCTATTCGTGGAGTTTTTCAGTAGGCAATGTGTTAAGGGTATTGAGAAGTATATGTACAAAATAGCAAAAAAATCAAACTATATTATTATACATCTTCCTGATCTAAGCTCTTGGTGTACATAGGAAGCCCAAAACTGTACCAAGTGCTTTTGCTACTTTTTTAAAATTTTGCACCATCTTGGAAATACTATGTCACAATTCCATATTTGAAATCGCATTTCCTGATAGAGTTGGATGCAGATATCCTGTGCAATACCACAAAATTACAGCACGCTGTGACTTATGGAGATGTATAACAATGTGCAGTAGCATGTAGTTAAACTTGCATGTCATGCCACATACATTAGAGACGAAAGTAGTCACATTATGAAGAAAATCTTGAGAATGTATAGTAATATGAAACAGAGCAGACAGCTTCACAAACTGATGAGAACAATAATACCCGTACTGTGAAAAAAAAAAATACTCCAATTTTGTAATATTCGCTGCTATCGAATTTCATGATTTTCCCCCCATAAAAATATGTGTTTTGCGAAACTACGACCATCTACATTAAGCACACAAGCTTGCATGCAATTTGCACAAAGCTTTCATAACTGTATGTATAATATTTCATCATTTTCCTCTAACTTTAAAGAAGTAATAGCTGTAACTATTGAACTATTAGGTTTAATTAATAATAAACATTTCTTGTTATCATTAACAGCCATTGCCGAAATGTGAACACTGAAAGCATAGCATATACACTAAAGTTGTACATTATCATTTGCAAGAAAAAAATCATGGCTGCAGGGTTGCCTCCAGGTCTATTGAATTCCAATTTTGTCAAGCGAACATTATGACGACTTACCAAGGACCCTTGGCGAAATGTTGCACACATTGCCATCTTGAGAGACTAAGTGGATTGACATACAACCTGATGATTTTATGTGTCATTTTCCATAATTGTGTACATCATGTGGCATAATATTTTACACTCCCCAACATATGACTTATTCAAATGAAATGGTGACTACACAACCCTTAGTTTTCACATCACATTTTAGGTGACAATCGCTTTGCCTATGAAGTTGTGTTTAAAACAATATTTGGTCATCTTTATGTGGTTATATTCGAACAAAAAAATGTTCAAATTCATTTTGATTGTCGCTTTAATTAATGATTAAAGATCAACAGCATTTTCATCCAAATGATAGAAAATGTTTATAAGAAATTTTGGAGAAAAAAATGTTATTGATTAAAAGTGAATTACACTTTGTCAGTGTTAGACAATTGCAGAAGACTGCATGTACAAGAAAACATTTTGCAACAAACAAGTCATGCACAATTAAAGATATGTAACTACAAGCAAATAGCGCAAAGATTAGTTTTGTAGTGTGGCTGTGATTACCTTCTCCTGGACACCAGGTATCGACATTAAATTCATACACATGGAGGAGACATTGTGGATGGAGAAAAAGAGACAAAATATGTATGAGTAAAACATATAATAGAATCTATATCTAAACTAGATTTTAAGATGAACTAATGGTTCATTTACCCCAAAAATATCAATCACTCCACAGTGAGAAAATGCAATACAATCAATAAACTCTATCAATAGTCATTAAATTCAAATAAAATTATTCATACGGTACTCAAGAATATAACCTCAAACATGCCAACATATTAGATACAAGACTGAGAAATGATTTAACAACACAGACGAACAAACACACAGACAGAAGGCACCAATAAATGTGACTATTTTGATATATAACAATACATAGTAGACATACATGACCATCATGGGACACAACATTGTGTAATATACAGATTACATCAAGTATGAAATATGTAAGAGATGACAACATATTAATGGACAATGAACCATGCATCATAGTTTCATACATGTGCTTTTCAATAATTGATAATGAAACAAATAGTACTGACCATATCATGCATGAGAACAAGTTCTATTCCAGGTAAAGCTCTCATTGGTCCAAGCCTCAATTCACCAAATGGCTCTGATGGACGTGGAGAAATTAATATACCCCCAGTTTCTGATAAAAGAAAAAAAAAATGTCTTAAAGTTTGAAAATGAAATTGGGTTAACATCGTCACCAAGCTGCTTGACAAAAAATTAATAATCATAACTTTTATGGTTTCATCACCAAAAAGACTTACGAGATTAAAACCATAAGGGAGTTACTAACATTTTTTTTTTACTCACCGGTTTGCCACCAAGTGTCGACCAAAGTACATCGCTTTTGCCCAACAACGTTGTAATACCATTCCCAAGCTTCATGATTCAGGGGTTCACCAACTGTGTGTACAAACATGATGAGATACATGTAACAGCATGCTAGGTTTTCTTGGCGCGGGTGTTTGTGTGTGTGCAAGTGTGTGTGTGGCTGGGGGGGGGGGGTGCATTTTTTCTATATTGGTTCAAGTTATAAACTGTTTTATTAGTCAAAATTGAAAAATATTTTTATTAGCCATATTTGCCATTGTTTTTTTTGGCTAATGTGTGGTTTTTAAAAATGTAACGAATTTACTAGAAATAATCCACACAGTTACCTGAGAGGGGATTACGGGAACATAATAAACGAACAATAAATAGTATACTGCAAAGGGGGAAATTATTCACTGGGTTTTAATTTAGCTTATTTCGCTGACTGGAAAATGAGCTAAATTAAAACCCAGTGAATATGTAAAATTTAGCATAGAACACATTATCTAAATGACGAAACTGTGAATTTAAAACCCACTGAATATGCCTGAAATGGTAAATCAGTGAAATTTAAACCCAGTGAAAATTAGTCATTTTACAGTACCATAATTTTGAAGTCACTGAATCATTATAAAACCAAAAAAATTATGTTTAGTATTTAAAAACATGTTTGTTATTACAAATCCGGCTACTGGTTCAAATTTGCATATTTTAATATCTTCCCATTAAAAAACATTGAATAAACACATTTATTTTACATAAATACACATGATGCATTGCAACAAACCTGATCCGATAGTTTTAAGAGATGATCTATCGTACTTGTTGACATGTTTCTCACCAGACTTCAATAATAATCTAATAGCAGTCGGAGCACAGTAAAGCTGGTTAACCTTCAACCGTTCTACCATCTCCCAGTAACGACCTACCAAACAAAGAAAGATTTGATGTATTCATTATTACACGCAGTCACTTCAATTTGATACATGATTCCGAATTGGAATAATGTGCATTATTTAAAGTGTGTATTGACCGTCACCACTTGTACAGACCAATGTTACACAAGATGGCGGTGCTTTTAAACGTAGGGATTGAATTTTTTTTTACCAGAAATGTAAGATTGTTTTGGAGGGTAAAATTTATATATACATCATAACATGTATTATCTGAGAGGCATATAATACAAATATTACAGCCCAAATATGGGTGCAAAGAGAAAATATGCCCTTTAAACAATGGGCAAATAATTTGGGCTGTAACTTATGATGTGATGTTTGACAGTGAACAATGGTATATTAACCTACCAAGGTCTGGATATGTTGGTATACTTTCAACAACACAGTGGTAGCTCCATTAAACAATGACATATTAACCTACTAGGGTCTGGATATGTTGGTATACTTTCAACAACACAGTGGTAGCTCTATTAAACAATGGTCCATTAACCTACCAGGGTCTTGATATGTTGGTATACTCTCAAACAACACAGTGGTAGCTCCATTAAACAATTGTCTATTAACCTACCAGGGTCTGGATATGTTGGTATACTCTCAAACAACACAGTGGTAGCTCTATTAAACAATGGTCCATTAACCTACCAGGGTCTGGATATGTTGGTATACTCTCAAACAACACAGTGGTAGCTCCATTAAACAATGGTCTATTAACCTACCAGGGTCTGGATATGTTGGTATACTCTCAAACAACACAGTGGTAGCTCCATTAAACAATGGTCTATTAACCTACCAGGGTCTGGATATGTTGGTATACTCTCAAACAACACAGTGGTAGCTCCATTAAACAATGGTCCATACACAACATATGAATGACCAGTAATCCATCCAATGTCAGCAACACATGCAAAGATGTCATCTTTTTGGTAGTCAAAAACAGTCTGTAAGAAATGAATATTAGTTAAGCATTCAAGAAAACAATTTTCCTATTGCATATTCCATTCGCTATGATTATGTATAAATTTACATTTTAATTTGGCATTATAGTAATATAAACATGTCAGGAATATGATTACGGTGAGTATTGTGAGATATTGCTCTGGAACAGCATTAATTAAAACAAAATCAGCCATTTTGAATACATGTATAATGAATATATAAAATTTGAACATAATCAGTCAAAGCATGTCAGAGATAAGGCTCAAGAAGTCCATTCATTAAAATAAAATGGCCGCTAGTCAGCCATTCTGAATCCGATCTGAAAAATATAATGACGTGAATCAGGAACCTGTAATGTCTAATGCTTGATATTTGATAATTTGTTAGCACAAAAATGGCCACCAATCGTTCATTTTTAATAGGATCGTCAAATAATATATCTGTATATCTATGACATGATGTATAATGAATATTTCAAATTTGAAATTTGAACATAATCAGTCAAAGCAAGTCAGAGATAGAGCACTAGAACCACATTCATTAAAACAAAATGGCGGCCAGTGGGCCATTTTGAATCTTATCTGCCTGTCGGCTGAGATATAGTAGCTCTGCTGTTAGCAATGCACATTTCAATTAAAGAACTGAAAATATTCATTAAAATTAGATAATTGAAGATATCATCACGAAATGAACAAATCTGAGAGAGGTCTACCTGAGGTACCTATATGTATAGTATCAAAGCAATCGGACTTACGGTTTTCAACAAGAAGTTGAAAATATCACTTTTTACCAAAAATTGCAAAAATATTCACCAAAATTAGAGAATTAAAGATATCATCACGAAATGAACAAATCTGTGAGAGGTCCACATGTAGTACCTATATATGTAATAGCAAAGCAATCAGACTTATGGTTTTCAACAAGAATTTGAAAATATCACTTTTTACCAAAAATTACAAAAATATTCACCAAAATTAGAGAATTAAAGATATCATTACAAAATGAACAAATCTGAGAGAGGTCCACATTTAGTACCTATATATGCAATATCAAAGCAATCAGACTTGCAGTATCATCCTATATGACATAGTTTGTTAGAACTGGCAGCCAAGCCGCCTATTAGTTCTTCCAGCTATGGAATATAGGATGATACTTACGTCCGCACCCGCCTCCCCCAAAAGAAATGACCAATATCAACGATGGTCGGATTTATAAAGGGAGTGATTGCGCAAGCGTACACACGCTATTCCAGAAATGGGGGACCCTCCCTCTGAAGGTGATCCCCCATCCAAAAGATTTTAATCCGAGTTGGGGTTACTGACAAGTCAATAACCAGTTATTAGATAACTTTTAGTTATCATAACAGTACGTAAGTATCATCCTATATTCCATAGTTAGAAGAACTAATGAGCAGCTTCGCCGCCAGTTTTAACAAATTAAACCGACTGTCAGAATAGTATTCCCTCACATTTGGACATGGATGAGATAAAAAAAAAAATACATGTAGATTGAAGTTGACATTTAATTGAATGAATCTATGCTATCTCAACAAAACAATTTTAAATTTATATTGCCTTACCTGGTGTGTGAAGCCAGCATACAGTAGGTATCCAGCCTGTGTATGGACTAAACCTTTAGGTTGACCAGTACTACCTGAAGTATACAGCATAAATAGCATATCTTCACTATCCATTATTTCCGGGTTACATTCTGTAGGCTGGCCAGCAAGTTCCTATACAAAACAAATACATGTTTACATTAGACTATAATATTGCTTCTATTTTTGAAAATATAAATTCTTGATATTTTTCTGTGCAAGATGGAGATAAAAAGAAAGGGTAACCAAGCATTCCACAAGAATGTAAATTCCCAAATGTTATAGCTTAATCTTATAGCCATTTTAAAATGAATATAGGTCAAAGTTCATAAAACTAGTCACAGAAAAAAAAGTGTCTCTCACAAAGGAAGCTGTGAAGGAAAGTAACCTAATGTGACTAAATAATAATAATAACTTTATTACACTACTATGCCATCAGAGGGCGCAGTATGGTAAATAAAATACAAATCATAAGAAAAAATACAGTAGCTAGACTATAAGATAAAATTAAAAATAAAAGATGTTAAAAGCTTAATAGGAAAAACAAATTAATGATAGTTACAGGATTCTCCCAATGTAGAGGTGATAGCTATCATATACCTGATTTCTGTTTTGCCTTATTTAGAAACTTTGCCAGGAGTATGAAGCACGTCATTATTTTAATGAAATTATCTGTTTTATTTAGTTTATTTTTAATTCCTATTTCCTGAAACAGCTCCCCTCTTTCTTTATTGAGAAATTCACAATCTAGGATAAAATGTTGTTCGTCCTCAACTGAATTTGTATTACATTTTTTACAAAATCGCTCATCCGCAGGAATTTTTGGTCGTTGTTGTCTGCCTCTTTCAATTTCTAAATTATGATCACTAAGTCATTGTGGCCCATTATATTTTCAATATGTTTTATCCAACTAGAATTATTCTTAATTGCTTCATCGAGAGCACATTTAAGTATATGGTTATCAGGTAGGGTATTTAGCCTGAACCAATATTTAGTTGCCAATGTTGACGCCTTAATTCTTATTGGCGTTCTGCCAAGTTCTCCTTTAATACCGATTACTGATGTAGTTTTACTTACACCAAATATGAAAAGATAAAATTGATTACAGGTGTGTTCAAGATCATTGTCATCTTTTAATAAATCACATGCCCAGATTTCTGCCCCGTACATTAAAATTGGTGAGATTAGTTGGTCAAATAACTTTAAACACAGTGGACTACATATGGACTCTGGTAAATTTTAGTATATGGCTGTCAGTTTACATCCCCTTGTAACGACGTCTTACTATCTATAATGTGTTTTAATTCAACTTGCTATTTTCTAAACACACACCTGTAGGTATGATAGTATTTGTATTCATATATTAATGATGCGTGTAAGATGTTGGAGAATACAAAGTTTTGAGAGGCTTAAATTTAAGCTGTTTTGGTCTGATTGTATTATTTGAATTCCATTTATCTGCTTAAATTTAACATAATAATTGCTGTGTTCTGAAAATAGAAATAGAAATCTGAATTCCTGTTACAGGCTGCTTTAAATCCTGTCAGAAAGAAGATAGAGAATGTAATTCGTTAAGTTATTTGATCTGATTTTATAGATGTACTGTAAACCAATGAGTGGAATCAAAAACAAACTGAGCCCCGTAACGCATTTTTTTTAGATAAAATAAAGTTATACACAGTGAGTATAATTTAATTGCAAGATGTCAATAACAAAATTGTGTGTTCTATTTGGCAATACATATAAATAAATATGGCAATCTTACAGCTTCCACTGGTATATCCAGCTCTCCCATTGGTACCTCAGCTCCAGTTCTCTGTGTTACAAACACCTTCTTAACAGTTGGACAACTCGCAACAGCTGCATCTACAGTTTTCTTTAAATCAATTATTTTTCCTCCACGTACTCCTTGATCTGTTGTTATGACAACCTCTGACGATGCTAGAGAAAATAATTGATAAACAAGTCCTGTCATTCCACTTGCTGTTCAACAGCGAACAAAACTGCAGTGAGCCAGCCATTTTGAATCAGAATTTAAAACAATTGCATGGTAATATGTGTGACAATGATGGATAAAATTTAGTTTTAAAGTTTGATTGCAATTAGTCAATGCATGTCAGAGATATGACCATAGAACAGTATTTGTTCAAACAAAAATAGCCACCTGATGGCCATTTTGAATCTGAAAACACAAACATCAAGCTCCATCACGGGTTGAACGAGATCTCCCATGAAGGTTGGTTTAGATGGGCTTTCAGGATCAGACAATTACAAAATATTAAATCAGGGAGATAATTGAAAAAAATGATAAAATCAAACCTAAATCAAAGTTAAACTGTAAATAGCTCCTGTGTGATCAGAGCATGTATTATAAAGGTATAGGCTTTGCCTAATAAGTGAATGTAGGTCATTCCATCAATAAAATTGATCAAGATGTCTGAGAATCTATGACATACTGTATATGGAAACACATGATTTTGATATGGGTATTTTGAAAAACATGCAAGGACACTATACTTGTAAACAAAGGGCACTAATGAGGCACTCTATGAATGAGGTATTTCTAGAGGTCGGGGTTTGTCTCGTCTGCAGTTGAATAATTTTTGCTTTGATTTTCTTATGGGTTTTTTTCCCAATGCGACTTAATTTCACTTGTTTTTTTTAATTCTTGGTAATGAGTGTCATTAGCGATGGAGTAGTAAAAACCGCAATTAACCTCAGTGCAGCAAATCGGGATAGATCTTCCTGACGCAATGGGCAAATTTCACTATTTCCGCTGACAAGTAAAATCTGCTAAATTAAACCTACGTGAACATGTAAAGTAACAACAGATTGTTTCCTTGACAGATTCTTGAAATTAAATCATCAAAATAGAACAGATAAATAAAAACATCATAGTTTAATGTTCGTCCGGACTTTGAGCCCTTGAAAGTAAGTGATCCAGCCCTTACATACGCAAACGATTGAAATTTGTTTAATTGCTATCAAATTATCACTCTAAAAAACAAAATTCATTTGTGAGACATGCTTTTGATATAAACCGAAGATCGCGATCGACCCTACACAAAACTACCGCCATTTTGTCTTCCTTGTCCTCGTTCGGCAAAAACAAAAAACTTGCATATTTACTATTTGTTTAATGAGTGCATTTTTGTTTAAAAATATCAAACAAGAATATACACTAAGTAAAATAGGAATCAACTGCTTCGTTTTATTTGAGTAAGATGGAAACCAAGCGAAAACAAATGTGAAACATTACTGTATGCTCGAGGAGAAGACACTGGGAGTCGTGTGCAAAGAGATTGTTTACAAATTAGATCACATTGGAAGTGCTTTCAGTCACGGTGTGTAGCTCCAATGCGTAAAATAGAAAATTTATATCTTGAACAAGTCATTGAAAATGACACAGTCCCTGTTAAGTTCTCTTTGTGCTTGTCATATTAAAGCGAAGGAGTTGTCGCGAGCGTGGCCAAAAAAAAAACAGCCGTTATTCAGCCATATTTGATCTGATTATGAAACACACTGATATGTATAATGTATGTGCCAAATACGAATGAAAATGATACATAAATTGTGGAAATATAGTAGTAAGGCCAAAAAGTCAGATGGCTGTCAATCGGCCATCCTTGACCAGGTTTTGAAACAAATTGTCATGGACATGCATCCTAACATGTATAAAGTACATGTATGTGCCAAATTTGAATGAAAACTGACAAAGCATGTCCAAAATACAACATTTTCAAAAAACAAGATGGCTGCCAGTCGGCCATTTTGAATCGAATCGTTAAACCACTGCATGTGCATATGTCCAACATAAGGTACTAGGCACATGCAAAGAATAAACGGAATCGGTCCACAGGATTCTGAAATATGACGCTGGACAGACTGACGCACGGACAGACGGACACACGGACGGACAGATTCAGGAACTCACGAACGGTCGGGGACATGTATCCTAACATGTATGATCTATGTACTAAATTTGAATGAAAACTGACAAAGCTTGTCCAAAATACAACATTTTCAAAAAACAAGATGGCTGCCAGTCGGCCATCTTTGATCCAATTGTGAAATAAACCATCATGGAGATGTATCCTAACATGTATAATCTATGTAACAAGATGGCTGCCAGTCGGCCATTTTGAATCGAATCGCTAAACCACTGCATGTGCATATGTCCCACATAAAGTACTAGGCACATGCAAAGAATGAACGGAATCGGTCCAAGGGATTCTGAGATATGACTCCGGACGAACGCACAGACTTAGGACGGACGGAGACCGAATTATAAGTCCTCGTTTTCGGACTTCGTCCGAACGGGGACTAATAAAACTGACAAACTTCCTTGCTGTTGCTGTCGAGACGAGGGGATTCAGCTTTCCTTTTCTCTGCTCGTGGCGTCACAATAGCGGTGAAGGTCAGTACTGGGTTGAACCGACAGCCATGGCCACTATATTTTGAATGAACATAAATAATTTTTGAACCCAATAATAGTGATCACTGTGATTATTATATAAATTTCTGGAACAATACTGAAAAAAAATCATTGATTTTCTTCTATATTCATGCTTGAAAGTAGGCCGAAGTATCCGCAGGTGAATAAGAGTATCCAAATAATAAGTTAGAATCGATCAGTTCACACGAATTGTTCTGTTCTGATTCATCATTGCAAAACAATGGCCTGGAAACGGCCCAGCTTGAGGGAAACAGTATCGTGGAAAAAAAGAACAGTATCGGACCCGATACCCTTAAAAGACCTGATGAGAACACTGCAGAATCGTGGGCAAAACGAAAGTTAAGCGGCTATTGTCTAAGCGACGCAGACCCGAGGAGAACACTGTGCATGTTACCAGCACATTTATGAATCAAGATTGGCAGAAAGTTGTATGGCATCTGTCTTTGATTTTGTCTATTGATGAATATGACGCACAAAGTGAAATTGAACTTGCATTCATGAAAATCAGAAAGGGTACTGCTTTTTCGTCAAACTGAAAAAATGTCCGCGTCACTCTTGTAACTGCGTATGCGTACTCCCCATACTCGCATACATTTGATGTTTTTAGATGCTGTATCTGCTCAAATAACATCCATCATGATATAATAAATCATTATATATTAAAATTCACAAATTTGCAGACCTTCCAATGAAATATTACCAGTAATTTTTGCGACAGAATATGTTATTGCAATAGGCTACTCACCCTAGTCAAGTATTTGTTAAGAAACTTTAAAGACTGTAAGTTATAAATTAATTAATGGGATAATTGACTAATTAATATGCATGGAATTGCAACAAAATCTAATCAGCACATCTACTCATCATATATTAGCTGTGTGCCAAATTTCATTTGAATTGAAATTTTGTAAATCTTGAGTTATCAGTGAAACAAATTTTAGTCACAGATTCACAGAATCACAGAGCTGGTACCACATAAGCTCCATATCATGGGAGCTGAAAAGTAAATTTTAAAAAAATCAGATTAGTTCTGATTTTTAATCAGATTGGGGAAAATCCTACCCTGTTTTTATAAGTCCTCGTATTCACACTTTGGCTGAATGGTTAGTACACATATCTTTTATAATCATATTTGCACTTTACAATAAATAAAATGCACATACCAGCTCTAATTCGACTTCCAAGTGCTTCAGCACTAAAACCAGCAAATACAACACTGTATCAAAACAAAAACAAGAATTACATTTGCTATTGAATTACTGATGTGAGGACCAGCAGTAAATCAAACGTAATAAATTTTTTTATTAAAACAAGAAAGGGGTAATCAAATATATTCCATGGAATTGTATCTTAGAATGTGGTTGTTTTTTCTAATTTCAATGACTACCGGTAGTTCATATAAACAACAAAATCCATGGGAATCAGGGCTAAGGATCACTCTACAAACATTTGAGAATATTGCTGTCCATTCCATAGCAGTTATATTCAGAGCAAAATTACAACTTTCTGATCACTCGTTGACAGAATAAAGTTTCTATATTTAATGATAGATTTCTCTTGCATATACAAGCTATACAATAGATCAATAGTAGTATGACATATATTGACAGATAAGTTACCTGTGAACTGCACCAATACGAGCACATGCTAACATGGCTGCCACAGAAAGAGGTGACACTGGCATATAAATGCATACTCTATCGCCTTTCAGCACACCATGATTCTTGAGAACATTTGCGAACTGATTCATCAACTCGTACAGCTCCCTGTGAACAAAAAGTGCAGTAGTTACATTTTGAGTTTACTTTTCTATGGTTCTTGGATCATATTTAAATTATTTCAATTCAAATAAGGAGTGGACCATTTGCAATGGAGGAGGTTTAAAATATAAATAGAGGGGAATTTAGAGAGTGATAAGTAAGTGGAGTGAAATTAAGGATTGCATAAAATAAACCACATTGTGAAGGAAATCTAGACGATGCCAACCACTTTAAATGATGAAATGAAATTTATGATTTGTTATTTTAATTACAGATATGGTTTCATTAAAAATTATTATAAGTCTAAAAAATTCTAAATGGTATGCAAGACATACACACAATACTTTTGATAAAAAGTGAAATTAAATTACTATAATCTAAAATTGGTTATTCAGGTACACAGACATATAGCTAATAATGGATAGAAACATCTGTTGACACAAGAACAATGAGGGGTTTAGTTTCCATGGAAACCATGTGGTCATTTGTGCAACTTTTAGGTTAATCTCATTCAATGACAAATAAAATTAATATTAATATTTATGGTAAAAATACCGAAGTTGCCAAATGAGAGACTTGCTTAAGGGGAACACTGAATTGATAACATCTGAATTCAAGAATAATGGAAGAGAATCAGATTGGTACTTACTTGTATGTCAGTGTTTCATGCATATTTGGTTCATCTTTTTCCCATATCAATGCAATTTTATCAGGAGTTCTATCTTTATGTCTATCAACACAGTTAACTACAACAGAAACAAATAACACAAAAGATGATTTTCTGTTCATTGCATTATCTCACAGATTGCAAGTTAAGGCGTGATTCAAACTTCTGTCGCAAAAATTGAATGATTTGATTTTGAATTTAAATTTAAAACTCAATGTTAAAATGTTGATTCATTCAAGGAATTTTTCTCTAATTGTTTTGCTGTTATAATATAGTCAATTAGTTTCATCAGTAATAGTTTTTTGTTTGTGTTGACTATATGAATAAACTTCTGGATTTTATTGAGGTGTTTGAACTGGTCATTTGATTTTGAGGTGTTTGAACTGGTCATTTGATTTTGTGAAAATTGTAAACAATGTCTTTCAAATCAGGATTTGAACTTTACACTTGCATGAGTAATGACTGCATGACCCAAAATTTATACATCTACTACAGCAGCAACATTGACAATGACCAAAATGCAAAACACTTATGACCAAGTTGAAGGTTGTGTTGTTAATTCAAATTCCAGCACAAACAAACTGAGATAAGGGATGGACCAAGTAAAGGCTCTGGGTGGGGCGATAGCAAAAATACTATGTACCGGTATTTTTTTTACAGCACTCAGTTTTGTGGTTATGTTTTCCCCCGTGATGTATTTGCTGTAATTTGTTTCCATGATTTTATCCTGTACAAATTCGCTTTCCAATTCTTTCATCGCCCACCCCCACCGAGTTATTAATGGTCAACCCCTAATGACCCCAATCATAAAAAGACAGTGATACACATCACGCCGAGCCGAAATGAAAGATAGTTACCCGTGACGTTCAGTTGCCCTCCTTGGAACCAGGCAATTTTTCCTTTCGTAAAATCACAATTCATTACTTGGTCAAATTCACGGTACCAATCAAGTCGACTTTTAGCCAGAGTCCCCCAAAATAATGCCGGGTCTCTCAGACTGAAATCGTGGAGGTCTTTGTAACTCTGAATGTTCAGGCCATGTTTCTCGTTAAATACTTGCACTTCGGGAATGATTGTTGAACAGACACCGTTACTTGACGTCCGCGAAATGACAGGGTTTGGCCATTTCCCAATAAGGTGCTTGGCAATCGTCGGCGATGGTCTGATGCAGAAATGGCAAGGATGCCGCAATGCTATTGGTAAGGCGCGAAATACCGTGGAAGCCATTTTTAACAGACTGCAACACTCTTGTTTTGGAATAGAAGGTCAGAGGTCGCCACGTAGTGAAAGCAGGTCGGGTCGTCTCAGGTTCATGATGGAGTGTGATGTAAACACCAGTGGGGGCGGTCGCCCCTCGAAAAAATATTGGGGCCCCTCCCAAATCAAGTTGAAACCCTTTGTGTCAGCAAAGTTTGCCCACAGGGAGTTGGACAAATTGATGTATTTTAATAAATTATTAAATAACAAAATGTTATATAACTATTCCCCTCCCCTTCCTGGTATCGATTTCAAGTAATCACTGATCTTTGTTTATACCACTCTTTCCCTTATCACAATCTTTGTTACGCGCTAATTTATATGCAGATTTTAACGTTCGATGTAGACACACGCTATAGTAGATATTTAGATGTGAATGGATTCGTAAATCTTAGCTGGTTTTTGCCCAAGTATTTTGTACAGGTATCTGTCAAAAATTAATGATTTACCGGGGCAAATATGAACTGCCATATTATATTCATTGTGCGACTAAGTATTATTTGAAAAGTAAATAAAACGTCCTCCAGGAATAAACTATCGTGTTGTAATCTTTTCTTTGTATACAAATCAACTCAAATAGTTGTAGTGATTGCAATGCATGTAAAGCATACAGCTAATCAGAGTTAACATAGCATATGACAATGGACAGATGTTGAATTGCCAAAGAATGCAAATAGTTAGTGTCTGCCTCCTGACAATCTACATTCTCAAACACTACAATCTTTGTTTTTGAAGTGCGTTTTTTAATTAGTCTTAGCTCTGTTTCAAAAGCTGAAACAAATTTCTGTGAATTTTGATTTTCAAAATTTATATACTTTGAATGAACAGTTTGTCAAATACAGAATAAACATTTTTGAGTACAAATTTCCCTTTAAAATGTGGATGCAACGTTTTGCTTTTTATGTATTTTGTCATTGTTTTGATAACTTTGGACTAAACAGATTTTCTATTGGCTTCAGATCTTGATCAAAAGTTTGGCACCCAATTCATAGGAGTGCTCAATCGATTATCTGACATCTTGTTTTCTATTAAGATTTTATTGGTAGGTTTGCAAATGTGTATCAGACTGTCCAACAACTCTCTCCATGAGGTGGCATTGAAACCCAGTCTAGTATTCCCATGGGATTTGGGAGACACATTACCAATGATATTATTACAAGATAAATGATTTACTTTATTGAACACATACAACATTGCATATTCCCACAGGGATCAGTGGCCTGTCCTTTGAATGCGTATCACCAGTGATCAGTCAAGTAGAACTGTTGTTCATACTAAGGGAAGATTTTATGCTGATGAATTAGGTGACCAAGTTTGATAAAATTTGGAACAGAATTAGTAAAGTTATTGTGCACACATTAATAATTATTAACAATGCCGGACTGACATTTTTCCTTTAATATATCTTTCCCTTCCATCTTTGATGATACAGGCAAGGTAAAAGAAAACGGTAGACACAGAGAGAAAAAATTAAAATTAAATTATACAGATAAGACAACAGGTAAAAATAAAATTTGCACTGGTCACCCCATGATTTCAAATGTTCATAAAAAAAGTAGCATTTACAATACAATACAAACAGTGGCATTTGAGATGTCAGTGAAACAAGATCAAACATACTTTTCATTAAAAATAAAATGAATTCCCACATTTTTTGGAGTTGGAGTAAGAAAACGGGTAGTTGGACGTTTTTGTGATACTATACAATATATAGAGGGCGGTATTCAAAACAGTATTTTGCATGTTGTATAATGTTGGGGTCAAACTAAATACATATTAATTCAGAAGTAAAACTTGGAAGGAATCCATCTAGATACATAACCCATACAAGCAACAGAGAAACTCTGTCTTGTGTGATTTTTTATTTATGAGGTAAATATTCATGTATCTTTTATTAAAGAACAGGTAATCTAACAAGCAAATACTATTATGTATACGTCAACAAAACATATAGCTCCAAAAGTCTATCACATTGTATATCTATATCCTACCCCACAAGGAATGAAATGCTAAGGCTTGGCATGTATTCGTAACCTATTTGAGTAACAGATGTATTTCTTGCCCAAAACTTAGTGCATGTTTTTATATTTTGTAAAATAAACACTGAATTTCATCATAATTTTGAACCATACGTACAGTTTCAGATATTTCTTTTAGATTTTGATCAAAAGTTGTAAAATTTTAACAACATTTCATGTGGGGAGGAGCAGATTGTTCATGGTGCCAAAAGTTGATAAAGGCGCTCAAAAGGTTAAAACAATTACAAACATGGTATCCGATATACAAACTCCTTATATAAACCACACTGGTTTCTGCATAATTCAACAGTAAATACAGTTGTAATAGTAAATACATCTTCAGTTCATATTGGTAGTTCATTTTTTAAAATAATATATACATATATATGTTCTTTCATATAAATGTTTCTTAATAACACTGCTATTTAAAAAAAATACGAGCATCTTATGAAGTAACAATAAATGACAATAAATGGTTTAATATTGTAATCATTTGTACTTTGATTCACTAATTCCATAAAGTAAATTTAAATCAAGAAATTCTTGATATATCAATAGTGAAAAAATACCGTTTTGTAATTACAATGTATTAAATACTTGTACCAGCATGCAAATATATTTATATTCAATTATTGATGGCATTTAAATGGAACACATTATCAGCCATTGAAGACTGCTCTTTATTGTAAACATTTCATTTGTGTTTACATCCAGTAATCAACCTGAAGCAAACGAACCTTATGCTGCAGAATTTTATATGTTGGCTAAAATTTTATGGCTATTTGCAAGTCCAATATTGTTATACATTTTATTTTCTATAAATTTCTCTCAAATCTACTTGAAATGTATGAGGCAAGTGTGGACATGGATGGATACAGTACTCATTCAGTTTTTGGCTTTTGGCAAGACATATCCAGTAGGTATATTGCCATGTCTTCGTTTTCCCAAAGCAGCTGTTAAAACATCTACTGCAGTGTTCACAGTAACATTCTGCTCAAATTTTGTGCCCAACTCAGGATTAACTTCTACCATATCAATACCAGTCACCATACCTAAAAGACAATGACAGGAAACTGGTTTAATAAATTCTCAGGTATCTTTGACTGTGTGACATCCAAGCATCATACAACGAATGATTAAACAATGAAATGTTAGTGATGATATTCTTGCTGAAGTCATATCTTTTCAGATCACAACATTTTTAAACAGTTTTACAGTGCTTTCCTATTGTGAACACTCTATATACTACCGTGTTGAAGTTGAAAAGTGACATCAGTGAGTCCATGGGCAAAAAATATTATCAGTTCAGTTCTTTGAATGCCATAATTTTTTCAGTCAAAAATTGTGCCAGACCTCATCATCAACACATCAAGTGCCACATTTTTTCCAGCAAAAACTTTTGCAAAATGTCTTGGGAAAATTGTGTTACAAATGGACATAAATTTCTATTGGCTACAACTCTTGATAGAAATTTTGAAATTATGGGTTTAATTTGTGAATGGTGCCAAAAGTTGACTTTGACGCTCTAACGATTAATATGCAATAAACATACCTGTACTTCCTACTTCTTCTACTATATACATTCCTTCCCTGAAAGTCAATCCTCCATAAACTGAAAAAAAAAAAATCTATTTAGGGTTTGATACACAATGTTTGTACAATACAGCCCAATTTTATAATATGCTATAGCTATATTTTATAATTGGAAATTGACTTTAGTTTTCCTAACTAATTCTCTGTTGGAACTTAATTTTATAGTTTCAAAAAAACAATTGTACTGAAAACTGGCTCTAATAATATTATTAAACTAGCTGCAATTTATTTTGTTCAACAAGCTCACTATAGTAAGTGGGAAATACTTATTACCTGGTGTTCCTGTACTCTGGGCGAGTAATGGATCCAATGCATCAATATCAAAACTGATGTGAATTGGTCTGTCTCGGCTACATAAAAATAACAAAGTATAGTTTACATAATGAATGAAGATGCTTCCAGAAGTAGAAGTCTGAAGCTATTGTGAGAGAATGTGATGTAGTTTTTTGACCAGTATTAGATAATTGATTAAAAGCAATCTATATTTTTGTATTCCTAGGTCACATTTATTGCCAATAATAAATCAAAGAAAGCTTAGAAAGAACTCCCATGTGCTGAGAGTATTGGAGACACATTAAATATAATTCGAAATTACTTAGCTGAAAACTAATTATGCAAATCAGAAAATTAATATGACCAGATTTGAGTGTAAAACTAATGAGGTCTGCGCAATGTAACAGAAAATCTATGTCTCCAAGTTTAATTGAAATGTGATTAGAACCAAAAAATTATGAATTATTATGCTTATTAGGGAATTAATATGAACAGATTTTTACCCCAAACTAATTAGGTTTGTACATTGTCCTAGAGCATCTTTGTACTAAGTTTCATTGAAATGGAATAATTAGTACCGTGAAAACTCCAAATTTTCGACCCCTCTAAAAATTCGAACGCCTATTTATTTGCCGGGTTTCGGTGTTTTATTTACCTCCAAATTTTCAACTCCACTAGAAATTGCCGACTCATTCTTATTCGAAAATTTCGACCAGTTTTAGTTTTCCCCCAAACGAAAAAAAAACACGGTGTGAGCGTTCAAACGGGACCTTCCTCGAAGGCATGAATCCGGGTTTCTGATTGACTGAGAGATTTTTATTTTATTGGTAACGAAAATATATTCTAAATAAACGAAGTTTCAAATAAAAACGAACACAAAAATCTCGGCATGCTGAGTTTCTGA